ATAATAAGTATATATATATATATATATATATATATATATATATAGATACATGAAATAAAGTAAATAATGTATATAAATTTTTAGGTTAAAATTATATATAACGATAAAAATGTTTCGAATCAAATTAATTTCTAAATACTTCTTAGATAGTAATTAATAATAATAATGATTTGATTGATTGAAATGGAAAGTTTTTATTATTGTATATTAAAATAAAAATGAAATATTTTTATTATTATATTATATTAACGTACACGTAAATGAAAAAAAAAAAATGAATGACTTTTACCGATATATTTAATCATACATTACCCTTCCCTCAATTATGCGCAATTATATCAGTAAATTATTCATCCGGCATAATATAAAGTTTATTATATAACAGTGTATTACAAATTATTACGCCAATTAGTAAAAATTTTAAAATTTTTACTTTTTTTTTTTTGTAGAATTTTAATTCTCATAAAAGAATTAAATTTCGTGTTTAAAACTTTAGACCGATTAGTCTTTCGCGCATGCGCAGTTAATTCTTCATCTCAAATATCCCTCAATAACCTTATCTAAAACCTTACATTAAAAATGATTATTTCAAATGTTTTAAAAATAATATTATTCTTTTCTCGCGAATTTATTTAGAAAATTTATTTAGAATAATTTGTAACGATTATCAGCATTTATTTTCTTATATATCTTAAATCAACCAATTAGATACAATTGTAAGAACACTAATTTTCAATTTTGCACGAATATTATCAACAGTGCCACAAACGCTTATAATTCTCACTAAGTCATTTTCTTAGATGACGAATATTACGTGAAGTAAGTAATCAAGATTTTCTATGAAAGAAAAACAAATTAAAAAATAATTTTTATGATTATTAAAAATGATTCTTTATATTACACAATAAATCTGATAATATTGATTTCCATTAATTATACGAAAAAACTAGTAAAATTACATTTACTATCTTGATATCGATATAATAACAATCTCGAATATCGATTATCAATTTATCAATCATTTTGAATAATAATTTCGATATAATTTGAAAATAAGTGAAGATGGTTTGTAACAAAATTTTAATTAATACAAATTACAAATTACGTGAGTTAATATATGATTATTTTTTATCATAAATTTTATTTTTATTTTGTAAACAGATATCACAATTGTTGCAACATAATTAATGCAAAATATTAAATAAATCCAATATTACGTAATGATAAATGATGCAAATCGCTGTTCGATAGTCAAAAATAAGTTGCAAATAATAATTGTAGAATTTAATATGAAAATGTAACGAGCTTGAAAAAAAATACACATCTTCTTTCGCGAACTCAATATTATATCTATTTTTAATTATTTATCTTTGATTCTCATCTTTCAATAATGATTTCATTATTCCTTTTTTTTTCTTTTTTTCAAATCAAATGTCGGCACTCCCGCTTTGTTTCGAAATATTATGTATGTTATAAATTATATTTTATAAAGGGATTTTTTTTAATAAATTTTAAAAATATATCGAGAAAAAATTTTCTATTAACTTCTTTGATAAATAAAGATATCACTAAAAAAAAAAAAACTCAATAAAAAAAAGATACAGCAGTTTATAGAGATATATAGAGATCATATTATAACTTCTAATGTCTCATATTTTATGTTTGCAATAAAATTGAAAAAGATTTATGCAATGATACACTATACATAACATTACATAAAATTAATCTATGATTAAAATTTGCCAACTCGAATATATAGATAAAATGTATAAATAAGTGATAAATACTGCTCTTCGATTTTTATTTACTGTGGTTTTATCAATTGGTGAGAACATTTGGTGAGAAATATTGTATCAAAATTAAAATTTTGATTCTTACTTGTTCATACAGTGAAGTGCATACATATCAATATACAATCAGTTTGTAATTATTACACAAATATAGAGTATTATTATAAATTTATCGAGATAACACTCATTATCTATTCATTTCATATTTATATTTTTTGCTATTGCATAATATTTGCAAATAAGAAAGATTGATAATAATAAATTAAATTTTTAATCAATGAACATAATTGAACATTTATGTTCAATTTAAATAACTTAATATTGGCATTATATATACATACAATAATATAGATTATATTTTTATATAATTTTCATATAAAGTATATCAAAGCAATGTAATACGTATATAAGTAAAATGCGTCTCGTATGTCTTTGTATATCATATAAAATATAAAAAAAAAATATAAATAATATCGTAATTTATAATTGACATTTTATATTTAATTGATATAAATAGTAAAGAATTATAGGAATAAAAAGCAGTCTTCAATATTTGTTCACTTAACAATATCTTCTTTGTTTTTAAGTTATCGATATTAAGAATACGATATACATACTTTTAAATTTATAAACTAACTGAATTTATCTCTATATTTCACTATATACGCATTTGTCTTTAGAAATTATAATTTTCAAATTTTAAACAAGTGATGAACATTTTAATTTACTTTAGTTTAAATTTTTTTACCTGAAAACGAGGAGTATCGATGATTTATTTCGATTTCTATTCTTGAAACAAAACACTTCGCATGCACATTAAATAAGCACCGATTTTTCTCGTGGAAAAACGCGTAAACGAGTATCGTGAAAACTATATAAATATAAATTTTTCGTAGTTTTAGCTCGAATTATAAAAAAAAAGGAATGTGCAAACACTGCAATCCACTTCTTATATCGCGTTTTCGTGTATACCGTGCGATAACAGTCGCGAGACTGTGAACCAGAAGCATGTCATTTGAGCCAAATGTTCGAAAAGCGCGCGGGTGGTGGGGAAGTTAAAAGGAAGGGGGGAAAAGATGAGTTCCATGAGCCATGCAATTTGATTGGTATTCAGATAAGTTTCAGTTGCTGGCTGAACCAATCAAATTTTCGTACTTGAATGAAGCTCCACCAGTTGGCGCATGTTGTCTGCGCAAAAACGGTAAATCATAAGCGATTTTATTCAATTTTGAATTATATGAATAATTATAATAGTTAAGAATAAAATTAATTAATTAATTAATTGATAAACTAAAAAAGGAAATAAGTAAGTATTAATTAAGGTTCATATTTCATATTAAAAAAAGAATATTTTTATCATATAGTTTTATTCAATACAGACTAGTATATACGTTTTTTTTTTTGAAGTTACACAATATATTACAATTTAATTATGATATTTTAAAATTTATATATTAAATAGTTAATTGATAGTATTCAGGACGTAGTTTAAGATTAAGAGCAGCAGGAGCAACAGTACTGAGCCAACTAACTAACTTATTTTTACTAAAATAAAAAAGGATAATTTATTGATTTCGATTTTATATTAATTTACAAAATAAATATTTTTATTTATTAACATATTTTACCTTTTGCTCGTTATTTGTAGAAGTTCATGAGACATACAAGGATGCAAATATAAAAATGGTGTACCTAATATAGGATGTATTGCTTGAGATAAATCCTTGTACTTTAATTCTCCATCACAAACAAAGGATTGTGCTTCTTCCATCGATATTGAATTAATACCCGGAAAATCTGTAGAAAAATAATTATATGTAAACATAAATTATATTTGTGTAAAAAAAAAATCATGAAAAATTATTATAAAAAAATAAAATAATATTTGAAAGTTATCGATTAGATCATAAATAATTTTAGCAAATAAATTCATTTGAAAATACAAAATATTGAAAAATGCATGTATTGTCATAAAACATAGATTTCCTTTGTTTCTTCTCGTATTTCTCTCCTTCAGTTATTCTGATCTCTTTGCCGACTTCTTAGCCTAGTTCGAGATATGCTACAATCGAAGGAACAATCAGCATTATGTCGCCTGTCATTTTCAACAGGCTGTACATATCAGATTAAGGTCTAGTGGTGATCAGAGGACGATTGTAATAGACATTTCATATTTTGTTGAATAGATTTTATAAAATTAACGACATTCACGAAATATTATTAAAAATGAATCGCAAAGATAATCTCTTTCTCTTTCTAAAATCTTTTTAAGATTTTTATATGATTCAAATGAATAGGACGCATTCACCTGATTTCCATCCATTAAAATAAAGTACTGGAACACTGTAACTCATCGACCATAGTACATGATGTTCCGTAATTAATGGTTTCTCGATCGGACAAGTGGCTTCGAATGGATCTTCTTTTTTCAACATGAAATTGAGATCGTTGTTTTCCAATGGCGTATAATTATTTGAATTATTGCCAATATATTGTTTCTGTCGTCGAGTAACGTATACTTCACCTGGCATATTCTACAAATCATGTATAAATATTCGTAAACAATTCTTTATATCTTTTATATTTTTTGTAGATTTCAAAAATTAAAAAATAACAGCCACCTTATTACCTCGAAGATCCCATCCGTCAGAGATATAATTCGACATTTGTACGAATTTTTCAGCATCTTCGAGAAATTCCTCCCACGTGATCGTACCTGGACCATCCATTATTTTCAGATCACTCCTAAACATCCATATCCCTTATAATAAATGAAAGATTCATCGACATATAATTTACATAGTAAAAAAATTAAAAAATTTGATTAAAATATTTTAATACATTATATACAATTATTTTGTATACAAAATATGATAACTATATATATACATATATATCAGATATTTATATATTAATAAATGACACAGGTAAAAAATAAATTTGAATTTTTAGTTTTGTGAAAATCAAAAATTACTTAATAGAAGTGCTAAAATTAAAAAT